AATTAATCATATTTAAAGGAAGGGTAAGAATGGAAGGAAAAAATAGGTATGTTTCCAATAAGACTAATTTGGTCCTATTTTGAAAAGAAAAACATAGTAAGTCCTATTTTGAGTTTTTGTCATAGTTTTAGTCCTATTTGGAGTAATTTCTATTAAAGTAATTCATGTTCGTTATTAAACATTTTTAATTTATTTCAAAATAATTATATTTTATTTTTCACATTTCAGACACGGGCTTTGTAGCATAGCATATACATGAGCGAGCGACTGCCACAGTTAGTGAGACGCATGACGTGGACACGAGCTGGTCCGTTTAAACCCATTTATTGGTGGGTTAGGGTTGCGAATTTCTGACCCATTTAGTTCGCGGGTTTCACGGGTCAATCCACACATGTTGTGGGTTTAAGTGGGTTGGCCCACCGGGTTGCGGGTTGGCCCGCGGGCCAATATACAAAATATAGTTTTAAATTTTATTATCTTAAATATTGTCCTTTTACTACCAATATTATTATAATTACAAATAAAAATTACAACTATGACAAAACAATATTTATTTCTATAATAAATTTTCAAATAAAATGTTGAAACATATATTTGATGTGAAGTTCGATACAATATTTAACAATTAGTAGTCATTATTTACAAATAATTAATCAAAAGGTTATGTAGATCTTTATTTTTATACAATGAGTATTTTTGTCGCATACCCTCTTATAGTTTTCAAATTCTCGTATAACTAGTATTTAATATTTTTTAATTAAACTTAACAAGTATTGAATTTTTAGTATTTTTATTTCTTATATTTCCTTTGTTACTACTTATTAATATAAATATATACTTCCGGGTAATTATTTATAATTTTTTTTGTTATATATTTTTTTACATATTGGCCTGCGGGCCAACCCGTTTAACCCACGGGTTAGGTGGGTCGGGTTAGGGTTGTAGAAATTCTGGCCCGTCATTAAACGGGTTGGCCCGACCCAACCCACATAGACCATAACCCGTCACGGGTCGGGTCGGGTTGGGTCGGGTTGGCCCGTTTGACAGCTCTAACCATCAGGTTCTAACGGGCATTGCTTCCTTGTGTTCGGATGTGTTGGGGCGAGTGGACTATGGTTATCTTATACATATGACCCCCTCTCAGGATTGTACGCCATCGACATCTACAACAGCAGCTTCTACATCCCAGACTCAGAATGACAGGGGTGTTCTTCAGCCACGTCAACGGCGTAGGCGTATGCGTCAACAACAACACCTCCATGACCAAGACGACCAATAAGAAGACCTTCAAAACTTGTAGTCTGTCTCTATTATTGTACTTATTCATGTAGCCCGAATTTGTAGTTTTTTTTAATCTGTGAAACAGTTTATGACGTATGTCCACCTGCAACGTATTGAATTTTAGTTATTTAATCGTTTGTTTTTTATGTGTTTATATGTTGGGTTATGCAAATGTGTTGAATTTTTTTAGGCTTTTGTTTTTGTTCAGTGTTTCTGACCAAGATTTGTGAAAATGTGTTATGTTTTCATCTATTTTCTGAAGATTCTGGTTTTGCAGGTGCAGGGGGAAAGTCGCCAAATGGTTTGGCGACTTATAAGTCGCCAAACGGTTTGACGACTTTCCCCGACTAGAGTTAAGCCCAACAATATATTGGTAAACAGTGGAGGAACCAGGACTCGTGACTCGCAGGGGCACAATAACAAAGAAATGAGATACTAGTCTAGAAAAAAATTGTATGCATCACGAGTATAGCAATAAACAAAACTATAAAATTTAACTAAAACCACTGTTTTTGGAATGATCTGTTGCACCCATTAAAATCACTTTGTGGAAATTTAAAGTCACACGATTGGACAGGACCTTTTCTCAAATAACGTCTCCTCAACTCATCTCTAATATTAACATCATAAGTCTCAATCGGCATAACTTTTCTGTGCAGCACTTTTCTGTCCGAACGCCGTCCGAACACCGGCGTTTGGGGCGGTTTCCGGCGGAATATTTTGATGAAAATTTTTGAGCATGTTCCTCATCAAGTCTAGTTTATCGATACCAAATTTCAGCTCAAAATTCGATCGGGAAGGCAGTCAAATAATTCGTTGAAGTTAACTGCGCCAAATTATACATAGAAAAACGCAGTTAACTTCAACGAATTATTTGACTGCCTTCTCGGTCGAATTGTGACCTGAAATTTGGTATGGATAAACTAGACTTGATGAGGAACATGCTCAAAAAATATCATCAAAAAATTCCACCTGGAACCGCCCCAAACGGAGGTGTTCGGACGGCGTTCGGACCGGGAGGTGCTGAACCTGAGAATTTTCCAATATATATATATATATATATATATATATATATATATATATAAATCACCGCAAGGGCACGGGCACCCCCTAGCCCTAGGGTGGGTCCGCCCCTGTTGGTAAATAGTTTTAACCCAACATTAATTCCGTAATTATTTAATTAATTAACATTAATCCGGAAAAAACTCTAATTACGATAGACATGAGATTATGAGAAAAGTCATTTCGAAGAATTATTACTATCGTATTATGTATCAAATTGCCGGATTCTCGAAACATTGATTAATACTTACCGACAGGTTCAGATGTTCAATATAATGACTTCAATCCAAGCACGTAATAATGCATCAATTAGCTATCATCAAATTAATTAATGTACGGAAAGTGGCTGAAGCAAGTGATTGCAAGGTGACTGCTATAATTGGCACCCAACGACCTTGAAAATTAATGTACTTTTGCACGGTTTATCCAAAATGTTGCGTGCATAAGAAAAAGTTCTACGCTGATTTTAATTTCTAATTGCTAACTTAGACATTAATACGATGTGGCAGTAAATATGTCCCCTTTCATTTGTTTTGAAGGAAAATAACTTACTTACCATTAATCAAATCACAGTCCAATAACTATTATAATCAACTCATGAGCAACTTTGCTCACTGATCGTCTAACTTAACGAAAGATAATATTTGAAAACCTTTGACTAATAAGACAAGAAAAATGTTTGGTGTATACCTTTTTGTGTAATCCTTTCATATACTTGTCTGTCTTACGCATACATAATTGACTGTTCACAGACAACTCTGTTGAAATGTCTACAGGGTCGGTCCTGGGGCATGGGCAAAGGGGAGATGCGCCCAAGGTCCATTGCTCCCTTAGGACCCATAAATTTTCCAGTTTTATATGCGGAATATTTTGGTCAGTTCGAACTGACCAGAACCACCGTAAGGCCAATCCCGTTTGAGAGCCTTTATGTTGACTTTTTAATGAAATTTTATGAGCACGTTCTTCATGAAATGTAAAACATTTACATAAAACTTCATCAAAATATTCAATCGGGGGTCAGTTAAATAAATTCTCCATAAACACTGCGCAAACATATGCATAAAAATCGTAGTGTTTTTCAACAATTTATTTAACTGATTTTCAAATTGAAATTTAAGATGAAATTTTTAGCGAATGTGCCACACTTCATAACGAACATGTTCACAAAATTTCATCAAAAAATGTAACTCGGAAAGCCCTCAAACGGGCTTGGCCGCAAAGCGGTTCTGGTCAGTCTGAACTGGCCAAAAATTTATTATATACATATGTTTGTATTTTAATATATGAAAATTTAAAAATAAAATCAAACTTATAATTTTTTCATTACGTTCAATATTTTATTCAACATTTACGAACTACAATTCTAAAATTTTGAAACATGTATACCAGAATTGTTTGTGAACAAATTTAACACTTTCTTTTGATTCATTAAGTGTATGTTAGCGCATAAATGTCAATATTTTCATCTACTTCTCTCATGTAAACTCATGATTCATTGATAGTATTTTGCTAATTTTTCTGTTCTCTCGTGTAAGTGATAGAAACTTACAATTTGTTTTAGTCTAGTGAAAACGTGAATCAAAATATGAAAATTTTACTCCATAAACGATATAACTTTCGCGTCTTTCCCCATTTCAAAATTATGTACTATTAAAAATCGTTGGGAAAAGGTGCAAATAGGCCCATCTACTAACCAAAAAAGGTCAAATAAGCCCTTATTTAGAAGGCTCTATCCGGTCATCGCCATTTGGGGTAGTTCCGAGTGGAATGTTTTGATTAAATTTTTTGAGCATCTTATTTATCGAGTCTATTTTACTCATACCAAATTTCAGCTAAAAATTCGATCGGGAAGGCATTCAAATGAATTCTTGAAAATAACTGTGCAGTTAGAATCACAGTTATCTTCAAGAATTCATTTGAATGTCTTCCCGATTGAAGTTTTAACTGAAATTTGGTAAGAGTAAACTAGACTTGATGAATAAGATGCTCAAACAATTTCATCAAAAAAATCCACCTGGAACCACCCCAAATGATGACAGCCGGACAGAGCCTCCTAAATAAGGACTTATTTGACCTTTTTGGTTAGTACATGGACCTATTTGCACCTTTTTGCAAAATCGTTCTACTTTTCCATTGAGCCGTTTTGGTACATGGTATTCTCGAATGTCAATTATCAAATACTTAAATATAATATCTCTAACCGTTCTTTATTAATTTCTTTGATATGTTATACTCGTATTTGAATGAAAAAAAATCTTAAATATATTTAATTTTAATGTTTTATAAACAAATATAAAAATTCACATGTTGTCTTTTAGGCCTACTCTATATGTATCGCCTCGGGCCCATAAAATGTCAGGACCGGGCCTGAATGTCTGTGGTCAGACAATTCTGTGTGCGTGAGACAGAATTGTGTACAACCCATTATGAAGGAAAAGGGGCAAAACCCCCCCTGGAGTTGTCACTTAAGGGCACATATGCCCTTAAACTATTTTTTTGTGCAAAAATCTTTAAAAAATATGAAAGAAGGGCAATCACCCCCTTTAGTTAACAGAATTGATTTAACAGAACTAAGGACCGTTAAAGTCACCCATTTGACTTGCATGGACCGTATATAACATATATGTTATAATGTTAGTATCTTTGAGTAATTTGAGGGCATATATTTCAGCTTATGTTCTGTAAAAGTAAAATCTAGAACATATTAGTCCTAAAATCAGCACATATATTCATCCAAAGAATATTCGTTGGCCTCAAAAAGATAACAACCGATGTGTTTCTAAATCATATCAGTAAGTGATAACTCATAAAGAAACTCTAGCAACAATATGCTCAGTTAGTGCAAAAAATAACTCAGCCTTCAACATATGTTATCCATGGAATATGTCTCCCCATCCATCATGCTGGTTTACAACCTTGTCTCGGTGTGATTGAAGTTGTCTTGTTGTAATCGCGGGATTTCCTTCCCAATTCAAACCGGAAGACTGAAAAGGGAGGGTTGATGGTTCCCTAACCTCATATCCATCTCCACAAAATCGAATATTCCTTGTGATCTCACTTGCTCTTTTAAAAGGGAGTTTTTTGCGCAATGTTCTTTCACACGGTATCGCCATTTTGGTCTGAGCATCAGGATTGATCTCCATTAGTGACACACCTTCTGCAATAATTGTCTCAGACTCCATACCAGGCTGCAAAATAAATAAAGGTAGTAAATAAAATATTTAGGTATAACATACAAAATATAAAAAATTCAAATTTAATAATTATGATAGTCGTGTACATTTAGCACTGTTCTGCCAGTAATTTCATCCACAAAGCAACCATATCCCATTGAGTCTACTGGTGTGTAAGAACTAGGTATGTCCAGAGATGCATTTGCATGTGCAGAAGTGGTCGCATGATGACTTTTTAGGACTGAAGTTACAGATCTGAGCGTAGCAGATGCAGGTTTGGTTGAACTTGTGGGTCTAGTTCTTGGTGTTTTCCCTTGCGGTGGTACCTAAACGTAAATAAAATGTAAACAAACAAAATATGGTAAATAAACGCCAGTCAAGTATAAACAAGTAGTTTTTTTTAAAACAAGTATAAAGAAGTAGTTATTACTTGGTTGCTCCCATTTGGGCAAGTGGTCCTATTGTGACCTGTAAGAGTGCATAAGCTGCATGTTTGTACAATCTTTTTCCTGCTCAATTTTGTTGGATTTGGATTACGCTCATTTGAAGCTCTAATTCTTTTGTGTCGTGGTCTACCAGCCATCTTAACAATATTTGGAGGCTCAATAGCTTCATATTGGTCACACTGCATGAACATCTTTCTGGGAACAGGTTGCATATGAAAATGGTAAGCAGCCAAGTACCTTTTCTTGCTATACCAATCTGCCATCATTGACAGTGGATCAATCTTGCTATGATATAAAGCACACAATGCATGTGGGCATGGAATTCCTGGAAGATCCCACCCTCTACATGTGCATTGTTGTTTGTTTAAAAAAACTGTGTGCTTAGTATCACCTTCCCCTATCTCGTAACCTGAATCACCATTAAATACAATTCTGCAACCCACATCAAGCTCTTTATTATCCTGCAAAAAACTCCATGGATTTGGGTGACCAATTATTGAACCACTGATCTGACAACTTCTTATTCTCACTTATCCTTATCATAGCTTTGATTCTAATTTCTTCAAGCATGCTTATGATAGGCTTGTGTCGGGCTTCTAATATCCATGAATTGAAAGATTCTGTTATGTTATTGTCTACCATCTGTGAATGACATCGCCTACTAAAATAGGCTCGGCACCACCTTGAAGGAGGATACCATACTAGGGATTCTGCAGCTTTCTTACTCACCTAAAAAAAAGAAAATGACATTATTTAGTAATAAAAGCTTCTACTTAATTATATATATAATTATTTATTAATCAGCACTTACTTTTCCTAATTTTTCTAAATTTTCCTTGAATTCTTCTTCAAATGTGCTCCATGCACATATCCAGAACTTTTTCTTTAACTCACCGCCATTCCATTTCTTTGACCAATTTGCCCAAACGTGTCTAGCACACCACCTATGTTCAGCTTGGGGAACCACCAACTGTATAGATCCAAGTAAACCCTAAAGAAGTATGAAACGTTATTATTCAACATGTAATAGGGAACAATAAATTTAAATATAAATAATAATAACTCTTAAATTACCTTATGCATATCCGAGATCAATGTTAACCTGGAACCATCATCCAAATCAAGCTCCTGTGCTAGCCAACATAAAAACCACCTCCAGTTATTTTTATTCTCTTTATCTACCACTGCCCAGGCTATTGGAACCATCTGATCATTGTCATCCACACCAACAGCTGCTAATAATTGACCTGTAGTAACTCCTTTTAAGAAGCACCCATCAAGTCCTATTAGAGGTCTACACCCATTCCTCCAATTTCTTTTGCATGATTCGAAGCATATAAAAATCCTTCTGAACACTTTTCTTCCTTCTTTCAAAGCTTCTTTGTCTAAATCAATCTCAGTCTTTGTGCCTGGATTAGTTCTTTTAAGTGAAGCAGCATAGGCTGCGAGATAGCTAAATTCCACTTTAAATGATCCATCCAACTCTTGAATAACCTGTCTTTTAGCCCTTTTACATTTGTCAATAGCTACGTTGATCTTCAATTCCTTTTCTGCATCATGTTTCATCATTTGAGCGGTGTACTTTGGGTTTTTGTAAATTCTGTCCTTAAAATACTTGGCCAACCAACTTGCTGAAGCAGTACTTAGGGAATAATGTCTAAAACACTTATGTTCATTGATCAATGTCTTCACAGCTAAACCAGGTTTTTTTCCATCTTTAGATATGTATAAGTTGAATGGACAACTTACTTCATTCACACATCTCGCCCTAATTCTTTGAGGTTCATTCGGGTCTATTTTGAGTTTAACCCCTGCCGCGACAGAATAGTTAACTATAGCACTTCTAGCTTCTTTTGCATTAGCAAATGTCATTCCTAACATAAAATGCATTTCTCCACTTTCTTCCGCACAACTATGTCTATCATGAAGTATTTCATTACCCTCCATAGAGCTTTCTTTTTCCCCAGATTCTTCATCACTGCTGACTTCTTGCAATTCACTTTCATTATCATCTTCTATATCACTAAAATAGCCGGTTGGAACTCCACTATAGATGTAATCCAATTCATCTACCTCCATTCTGTGACAAGTAAAGATCTAGGATTGAATTAGAAGAAAAATTTGCAGAAAACTAACAAGCAAAATTTCCATACCTTAAAATCCAACCGTTTGCTTATTTTTGCAAGAGGGGAGCTAATTTATCAGGAAAACAGATAACCCAAGTTTTAATTCAACATATCAATTTGAATAATGACTCTAGAGAGCCATTAAGAATTAGGAATTGTAGAATACCTAATTTCTATTGCAAAATACCTAAGACAACCATTAAGAATAAAAAACTGCAGAATACCTAAGAGACCCATTAAACATTAAGAAAAAAAGACAATTTAAATTATCACAAATTTGCATATGATATAGACCATCTCTATAAAATGAAAAAAATCAATTAATTACTAAAAACTCTAAGCTATACTACATATAAATTAAAGAAACAGATGGTAAACTCTAAACAAAAGTATAAAAAAAGATAATAAATATGACCTACATAATAAGCAACACATACGATACATATATAATTTACATACAATAAAGAAAGATATAAAATATGAACTAAAGTTTGTATATTGGATGTTTAAAAGGAAAGGAGATGATGTGTTCCAACCTGAGCTTCTTACAATGAATTCTACAAGCTATTCCTCCAAGATTTAATGAACTGAGAAGAGAAAGGCGGCTTACTTAGTTGCAGAGAGAAGAGGAAGGCGGTTTAACCTGAGCTTCAATATAAGTTGCAGAGAGATTCCGGCAATCGGATGTCTTAACCAGAGCTTCAGTTTGAGTTGCAGAGAGATGCCCGCTATCGAAGGAGTTTAGTTAGGGAAAGAAAATAGGACGTAATCAATTTAGGGTATAAACTCTACGTTTTTGCAGTTTCCCCCACTTTTATTAATTTATATTAAAAGCAGTCCATTTCATTTTGACGGTAGATGCATGTTTTAGTTCACCGTTAAACAAAAGGGGGCAATTGCCCTTCTTTTAGATATTTTACAGATTTTTACACAAAAAAATAGTTTAAGGGCCTATGTACCCTTTAGTGACAACTCCAGGGAGGTTTTTGCCCCTTTTCCCTATTAGAAATGCATCAGACTTGACCCATTATGAAGCTCCGAGATAGCCTGAGAAGCATCAGATTTACCTTTCACAAAATCTCACCCCCGATCCTTTATCCTGCTCAAAGCTTCTTGGATACTCAATAATTCCGCCTCCAGAGAAGAACAACTGCCCCAACAAGGTTTCGCTCCTCCACCCACAAAATCGCCATGTTTATTGTTACGTGTCCCACGCTGCATCACCGTTTAGTTTTTGCCATGCGCGCTTTGATTTTTATTATCAATAATTTAGGCAGGTAATATCGTGGGACCGACAGATCATGCGAAATGCTTGACCCCGCTACTCCTTATTTGCTCCCCTGTAGTACGCACATAAGTGTTTCTTATTCTTTTTACTTTTTTTTGCTTTTCTACAATTCTTTTTTTCTTCTCCATCAAATATTAAAAATGTAATTACAATCTTAATTTTCTTTATCTTCACTTAAATTCCAACTCAATCTATTTTTTTATCAATTCATAAAAAATGAATATTAATCTATATAAGACAAGTATATTACATTTCACATTAATACACTACTTTTATTTCTGTAATATTTTTTGTAGTATACATTTTTTTGTAATATTTTTTTTGTATCATACACTTTTTTTTAATATTAATCTAAAAAAAATAAGTATATTACATTTCACAATCATACACTATTTTTGTTTGTGTAATATTTCTTTGTATTTTACATTTTTTTGTAATATATTTTTTCATTTTCATACACTTTTTCTGTAATATTTTTTTGTGCAATTGGAAGGCAGGCCGTTGGCCGGACTGGAAGGTAGGCTCCGGGCTGGGCTGGAAGGAAGGCTCCTGGCCGGGCTGGAAGGCAAGCTCCCCGCTGGGCTGGACGACAGGCTCTCTTGGGCTTGCGCTCCTTGATTGGCCTGATTGGTTCGGCCGACTCGAGCTCTGGGTTGATGGGCTTGGGCCTGCTGGTCCAAGTTCAGGGCCTGGGCCGATTAGGCTCTGGGCCTAGTCCCATAACCCCATCACGAGTCCCCCACTCTTTATGGAGATTTCCAAATTTTGAATAAGGCACATAGCTCTAAAAGGCTCCAAATTAATTCCCTTAGCATCCTAGCATTCCAGGAGTCAGCTTTCTCCCAAACTTCAGATTCCAGGTCAACTTCCAAGAATTTCTGAAATTCACTATTATTATTACATAAATTATTTTCGGACTTTATTTTATTATTCTTCTCTTTTCTTTTCTTTCCTTTTCTCTTCTTTCCTTCCTTTTTTTCTTTCCTTTTCTCTTCTTTCGTTTCCTTTTCTTTCTTTCCTTTTCTTTCCTTTTCTTTTCTTTCCTTTCTTTCCTGGTCTCGTCTCTGCATGCGTCTTCCTCGCGTCGCCCCAGCGCCGCAGTCAACCTAGGTTGACCGCCGTTTTTCTCTCGTCGGCTCTTGGGTCGACCTTTGCTGCGCTCAATCACTGCCCCGCACCACCGCCGGCGACCGGCGTCTCACCTGCAGTCCAGCGGACCTGGCCGGCGGGTCTGAACCCCCATGTCCGGCCGACCTAATCACCTCAGCCGGCGGTCTACCACTCATGGTTAGTGTCACCAGGGGCACTGGTAGCCCGGCGACCCAAGTGTCTCCCCTACAGTCCAGCGGATCTGGCCAGCGGGTCTGGACCCTCATGTCCGGCCGACCCAATCTCCTCAGCCGGCGATCGTTCCATTCCTGGTCAGCGTCACCAGGGGACTGGTATCCCGCTGACCCCCTAAGTCGGGTGGCACCCTTCTCTTAGGCGGCCAGGCTGTTTGCAGCCGTGATTCCTCCGTCGGACGGCATCCTCTAGGCTGCCTTCCCTGACGGCCGACTTCACCCAAAGTTTTGAGCTGGCTGTGGCATCCCGTGCTGGTCGGTGGTTCCCTAGGGCGGCAACACGCTAATTGCCGTCCAATGTCTAGCAATTGACTATTAGCCTCCACCCAGGTCGGACGTCCACTCCATAGGGTTGGCGGCAGGTCGAAACTCAGCTGCCCTCCGTTGCGCGGCAGATGCGACGGCCTCCCATTGATGGCGATTGTTTTCCTGCTGGACGGCTAAGCCCCTCATGATGCTCGACCCTTCGTATTTTCATCTATTCTTATAACTCTTTTTTTATGTGTGCATGCGTGCTCCTTTCAGTTTGATCATGCAAGAAGGTGGACGCTCTCCCTATGAAAAAAATGGTCATGTGGATGTGGGACTGTCGGCTAGCCTTGAAGCAAAGCGCGAGGCGGCCGCGAGACCCATACGTGTCAGCCATGGACCTCGACCACGTATGCATGCGGGTGTTACTACCGGGCGAAAAGCTAACATTCTGCCTCAGTTGGCTCCAGCCAGACGGATTGTTACCTCTGAGGGACGACCCCTCAATGTTCCAGACAGAGCGTGCATCCAACCTGTGAATGTACCAGACTCTGACGATGATTCCGATACTCGGGTGGACTTGGATTCCTGGTGGGACCTTGATAGCAGCGGAATACCGGGTCTCCCTTCTCGCGTCACAGAAGAGGACCTCGCCATAGCATATAGTCTGATTGGTGATAATTGTTTGTTGGAACCTCCGGTGGCTACTGACGTATTGAGCGATCCACCAGCTTCTATTTCGGGGTCCATATCCGCTCTCTGGAGTTAGGGATGGCTGTGCCACTACATCCCTTCCTGGTTCGGCTTCTTCACTTCCTGGGTGTAGCACCGGGTCAATTAGCTCCAACGGCTCACATGTTTGTTGCAGCTTTCTTGGTGCGATGTGAGGCTGTGGGCCTCACTGCCACGATTGGTTTGTTTTTTACCCGCTTCCAGTGGTGTGCTTCTAGCTTTTTCGCCTCAGTCTCCTAGAGGCCGGTAAGCAAACTGTTTTGGTCGGATTACCCCGCTTCAGGCAAGGGGTGGAAGAAGAGATGGATCTGGGTGTCCGACCCCAACCTCCCGTCACCTCCATTTCAGTGGGGTGAGCGGGTTCGGAAGTGTGACCGTGTCGCCCTCTCCCCTGATCTCAAATCCTCCATTGAGAAAATGTCCGCAGGCGGCCCCCACTCCATCAACTCATATTTAGGTGATTGTCACCTCTTTGGTCCGCGTTTGGCCACTTTGTATTATTTTCCTTATCCTCATATTTTTCTTTTGCAGATGTGCCCGAGAAGCCCGCTGTTGAGGCCGAATCCGATGAGGAGGAGCCTCAACAAGTCTTCGCCCCTGCAGCTCCTGCGACTGCGGAGGGGAAAGAGCACGGAGCCCCCCAGACCGTGCGACGCAGATCCTGAGAAGGGTGAGGGTTACCTTTGGGCCTCGGCCAGCTGTGCCAGTGCAGGAGAAACACAAGGGGGGACTCGTCGAAGTGCTAGTCGAATTGGATGGATCTGACGAGGAGGATCCTTGTCCAGCCGTCGCTCTTGTGGCCCCTTAGGCTGTTGTGGGGAAAGAGCACGAAGCCCCCTCCCTGGGCCGAGAGGAACAAGTAGACCGCGTCTGGAATGCGGAGCATCTAATGAAGTTTTACTAGTAGAGAATCGAAGTCTCACTTTTTTTTGTAAACTCTTGTGCTCCGAGCACGGATTACAATTTGTAATTCTTCTTGTGGTCCGCCCACATCATGAATTCAATACTTTGCTAACGATATTTTGTCTTCAAAAGAGGTTCGACCTCACTTAGCAATAAAAGGCGGCGACAAAAAAAGGTACTATGCCCCCTCCCCCCCCCCCCCCCCCCCCCCCCTTCGGTGTTTGGCTGACCTCAGCCAGGCTCTTGAACTGAAAATAGGCAAACGATTTTCGAGAATCTGATACGTTCGTAATTTCCATATTTATGTTTACGTTTTTAATTAGTTTTGCTTGACTTTTACTTTGGAAATTACACACTTTTGGTGTAATAGATTAGATTGTTAAATTCTTGTAAATAGCTTAGATTAGATATATTCTGAGCTCAAGCAGGTTTTGGTCACTCGAAGTACATTTGGTGAACCCAAGAAGTGAAAAGAAGGTGCAAAAGTTCAAAGACAAAAGAAGATCCTGAATTTTGGTCTATACTCGGTCGAGTATTAGCTATACTCGATCGGGTATTAGGTTGGAACTTCAAATCGGATCAGATCCGAAGACAAGGGAACATGCAGGGAAGATTTTGGCCACGATTTTATGTCTATACCCGATCGGGTAGACCGACATACCCGATCGGGTATGCCTTCAAATTCCAAACGAAGATCGGTCGAGTATGGTCCGAATACCATTTTCTAAGCATACTCGACCGGGTATTCATATATACTCGATCGGGTATACTCTTAGAAAATAGCCTGAAAACGGTCGAGTATGCCTCGGATCGAGTGTTACACACGTACTCGATCGGGTACCATGTATATACCCGATCGAGTACCCGAACCCCATCCCAAAAACCTATAAATACACCTCCTTTCCTTCACAAAAAGATATCCAATCCCTTTGTACATCTAAGCTCAGTATAGAATAGCTCTTTCTTTATATTTTTCATCATGTTTAGTCTCCAAATGAGGAGCTAAACTCTTCCATCTTGGTTTTGCTACTTTGAAGCTTAATGAATTTGTAAGTTGTGAGTTATTTTCTTTAATCTTTTTCCTTGAATATTAATTCTTTCTTTCAAAATACTATCTCTATATCAAAGTTGGGGAGTGTTACTAAGATGACAATTAGTTAACATCTTGACATTGGTTATAGTAATAGCTATTTCTTCCTCTATGATAATATTGGGGAGTGTTACTAAGATGACAATTAGTTAACATCTTGATATTAATCATAGTAGGATTCATATATTTTAATATTCTTCCTTGAGTATTAATTAATTCCTATTCATATTTCATGTTAATATCTTAAACATTACTTAAAGTATCAACTAGTATTGTTTCTCATATTAATTATTACTAGAATCAATCGGTTAATACGCTTGTTATTAATCCGGTTCTTTCAACGGTAGTAAACTTGGAATATTAATGCATGCATCTCATGGTTAATATGCCAAGGGGAATTAATTATATTGATTAAACCAATAAACCGCTTGTGTTGAGGTTATCAATCTCAATCGTTTTCATCTTAAGTTGATTGCTACTATCAAGTTAAGATACGGCGCTTGTTCTATATTGACTCGATAGTAAGTTTTATTAATGAACGCATCTCGTTATTAATAACTACCCTCGATGAACTGGATATACTCCTCGATTGAGTATTCGAGAGGAAGATAGTTAACGATATAACCGGGATCGACGAACATTTCATTAAGTGGATAAAAGCAAAACCAAGTCTTCATCTCATTGAATTAAACTCATATAGGTTGTTTATCTTAGTGTTGTTAAAACAAACAAATCTAAACCCCCCTTTTGTTACTACTTATTTAAAAGAAAATTATTCCTTTCCCTGTGGATACGAACCTTACTACACTATACTACGTATTAGTGTTGTATTGTATTTATTTTGAGTGCACCTAACGACGAGTGCACGTCAGAATCCGAGCAATTTTCTAAAGTAAAGAG